TTTCAAAAACATTTTAAAATGTAATATACCTACTTATCACACTGGCTTTCAGTTTTGGAATGGGCTATGTCTCCGCCTCCATGCGTGATCGGAGAATCAGAGCCCAAAACGAAAACATCAGTTATCTGACTCGCCCCTGTGTACTACTCACTCCCTGCCCTCTCTTCTCGCACCTCTCTGTGTGCTGTATACCTAAATGCAAGCGTGCGAGCATCTTGCCCCTCCTTGCCCTCTTCGAATCTTCGGTTGCAAAGGCGCCAAAAGAGACGACGGGCAAATCAAAACCGTCCGAAAGTACTCGGGCCTGCCGTCGTACATGTTGCACCGTGTGTTTCTATGCAAGCGCAACAACAGGTGTAGGAGGTTTGCCTACCCTCCACCCGTAATATATTGCTCCGCGGCTCCGAGTGAGTAGGCAAACCCACAACACTGTCGCGCATGGGCGACACAACTATTTACTTGCTATAAAGTACAGAGTGTACGGGCCCGGCCCGGGTGGATCGGACGCCTACGGGGCGACAATCTCCTTTTTACGCAGGCGATGTCATGAAATATAGATGAGCCCCACGTAGTACTTTCAGTCGATCACTAATGGGGGTTTTGTTTTGCATCAGGGGGCCGTTTCCCTACTGCGTGACCCTTAAGAGCAGGGAGGGGGGGGAATACAGAACCATATTTGTACTCCGGGCAACACATGTCATGGGGTCCCTATGGACTCCAGTAATGGCTAATGGTCCCGATTCTCTTAGGACCCCACAATATTTGTACCCCTCTCCCTCTAAAAGCTACGTAGCTTAGGACCGTGTTCTAAAGTCTATCCAAATTCTCAACGTGCCCTGTACAGCCCTCTGCCTACTTCACGGTTGGACTCCTTGCACGCAAGACCGAAACAAAATAGCTCGAGTTCGTACAGATCCTACCTCTTCTCGGCTCGGACAGCAGACATGGCACTGAAGGGCGTCCGCGTGCTGGAACTGGCGGGGCTCGCTCCGGCGCCGTTCTGCGGTATGCTGCTGGCCGACTTCGGCGCCACCGTCACCAAGATAGACGCCGTAAGTCCACTGTAACTAGCACCGAGTCAGCCTGGGTGAAACTAGTCAGAGCTACTGCTACTGCTCAAGGCTGAGTGTAAGATGCTCGTTTCTTTTACTCCTGAATCGGATCACAATTTTGCACTGACACGCGCATGCAATTTTTATTTTGGGGGAGAACGAGTGCGGTGGTAGGAGAAGTGTCTTATTTGTTTTCCTTTGTAAATCAATTTCTTCAGTATAATAGTTTATCAGGTACCTGGTTTGCTGAGGACTTCCCCCTGTGGTTCCAGATGAATAAGGCGAGCGTGGAGGTCTTGGGGGCTGGTAAGGAGTCCATCCGGCTCGACCTCAAGCACGACAAGGGCAAGGAGGTGTTTCGCAAACTGTGCGCCGCCAGCGATGTCCTCATTGAGCCCTTCAGAGCAGGTGAGGCAGAGGAGAGCTCGCACTTGAAGGAGGGGGCGAATAGGCGTTTAATCCCCCCCGTTTCGACCAATGTTCCAGGCACGATGGAGCGTCTGGGTCTGGGTCCAGACGACATACTGACCATCAACCCTCGCCTGATATACGCCCGTCTCACCGGCTTCGGTCAGTCCGGGTCCTGGGCGAAGAGCGCGGGCCACGACATCAACTACGTCGCCCTCTCAGGTTTGTTTGGTGGCATGAATAAAATTGTCGTTTGTTCTTTGCCCCATCCCCTGAAGTTGACGCGCGTCGCTAACTTTACTGGGACCAAGCTTTCACTTTCTATCTCTAGTGCAAAGCGATCAAAACCGCTACGGCCCTAATGTTTTTCCGTCATGGGTGGCCGGGTGGCGGTCCTCACGCCGCCTTGGCGCCGCCTGTGCCCTCCCCGCCGTAGGCATAGGCAACCCTGTGGTCGCATCATTCCCCTCTCTCTCTCTCCTGCCCTTGTTTCGCTAGCCCGGCCCTCGTCCGCCCTGGCCTGGCTGGTCGGTGGACAGAGGGGCCGACCCTAAATCCCACTCGCCCCGCCAGTGTCCGCCAGTGCGCCCCCAAGCGCGGCACATAAACCGTGACTTAAAACGGGGAGGGGGTGCGCGGGTGCGCGGGGGGCGGCGGGCCGCCTGCTGCTGCCTTATGACACTGTGTCGCGGAAAGGGAAAGGCCAGATATTATTTGCCTTAAAAACTTTACGTAGGGTAATTTATGGACGGTCCGCGCCCAGGGCCGGCTGCTTGGACGCGCGCCAGAGCAGTTGGCTCTTTCTGTGTGCTTCACTACCCCAGAACATCTCCTGCGAATGCATCGACTGCTTCGCTTCGCCCTTCGCTCGGGGACCGCTCGCCCGAGGTTTGGTCGGTTTGGTACGGTCCAGCCGGCACCCCCC